TCCGCAATGAAACTCAGAAAGTTGGAACATCATTCCCGTCATGCTCTCAATTTGAAGTATTATAGAGACTTCCAGCACTACACCTCTTCAATCCATTTTAATGCTGCGCGGCGTTTATTAAATTAAATTAATGATATAGGTGACCTTCTTCAAGGCGTCTTCTTTTCCGTTTTGGGGGTGGCTTATTCAGGATTTGGCATTGCTGTTGGCCCTCCTTTGGCAGTTTCTGTTCTTCATGTTCCTTTGTGGTAACGGTCCATCTTAACTGAGCAGAGGCTAGCATCGAGGCCCGAAGCTGGATTTTGAAGGGGTTTGCAACCTTTTCCAAGGATTGTGATGGGCACCCTACACCACAAACCCTAAACCCTAAACCGAAAACCCTAAACCGAAAACGCTAAACGTTAAACTCTAAACTCTAAACCCCAAGCCAAACCCTGAACCCTAAACCGAAAACCCTACACCTTAACCCCTTCGGCCTCCAGAAACGCTGCCATGGCTAAGTGGCCGAAGCCATGCTCTGTGGCTTCTGGCCTCCGTGGCTCAATAGATCTCAGGGTAGGGGGCGGTTCTGAGAATTAGGGTGCACACGGTTTAGGGTTTAGGGTTTAGGGCTGCCTGCCTTGAAGGAGTAGCTACTCGAGGGGTTTAGGGTGATCATTCAAGAGCGTTTTGGAAAGGGATGTTATTGATTGAAGTCTACAGTACCAAGTCGCTGTTTTCTGAAACCCTAAACCCTAAACCCTAAACCCTAAACCCTAAACCCTCCCATGTAGGGTTGTGGTCTTCCGGCTTAGCATCGACGGTGTGCACCAAACGACCGAAGCCACACGCAGACCGTCCAAGGGAGTGATACCTTATGCAGCCTATTTCGGGGTGTCGGTCGAATTACGGGCTTAGGGCATAGAAGGGCCTAGGATTCATTCGCAATGCTCTGCTGGCTCTGTTCTGCATTTCACCGCAAGAACACAAATCTTCCACTTAATCAGCATCAACCGGTAACCGTAGCGGCTCTAGCCCGCAAAGCCAGAAAAAACGATTGGTCGAACTGGCAAACCTGGGGTTTAGGGTTTAGGGTTTAGGGTTTCTTGATCAGGAATTTTGTTAGGGTTACCGGCCAACATGATACGAGAAGCCTCCTGTTGTGTGCTATTTATCGATATTGCGGTAAGCAAAACAGGTTATCCTAACAAGAGCCACGAAAAGTGACCTCCTCTCTAGAAACTCTAGCATAGAGTTTGCCACCACGACACGAATTCGGCAGTTAAGGTGCGAGCCCACTCGCAGCAGGCACTTCTCGACCTTCTTGCTCAACCTCGGTACTGGATTCTTGTCAAGCGACGGTTTTAAGGTTTTAAGGCTTATAAGGGCTGCATTTAGGGATGGCCTGCACCTGTTAGCCCTAAAGCAGTCTCGACCCCAAACCCTGAATCCTACACCTTCAATCCCTCTGCCGGTTCAGCGTTCAAGCCGGGCGTTTGGAAAGCGACTGAAGGAGGGACAAACAGTTCAATTCCACAGGGGAAACACAAGCAAGTCTGACAAGGCCAAGGCTTGGGACACTTCGGGCCATGGCAGGCCCCATGGTAGTTCCTTTTTGGGGTTCATATTCAGAATCCTATAAGGTAATCCCAAAAAGGAACTACTTTGGGGCCTGTGGGTAGTTCGGCTCTACTGATTCCATTCCTGCACGCTGGTGCCTCGATTTTCCAACACGCTGCCGCCTGTGCTCAAGTCTCTGGACATCTAGATAAAACTGCAAACAAGCTGTGTGACCTCTGTGTTGGTCCACGACAGCTATGCTGAGAGTCCAATACCCCCCAAAAAAAAGAAGCGATCCACAATGTATACACCTTAGACTATGTAGGACTTCATATTACGATAAAGCGACCTGGAGGTCTCTTCCTCGATTTCTCTACTCGAAGAGGGAGCATGGGCTCTCGGGTAAGGAGGCCTCTATCTTAGGGTTTAGGGTTTAGGGTTTAGGGTTTAGCTCTATCATCCCAATCCAAAGATTGCCGCAGATTGCCACGCAGCTGAGCCAGACTAGCCGATGCCCGACACCCTTTCTCTATGCAGGTGCATGCATTCGCCGCGGGTTTCTGAAAACTAGGGATTTCTTATGCCGGGGTCTTCAAAAACTAATCGGAGGATCCTACTATCTCGATTCTAAACGAAAATCCCTTGTTAATTTTGTTTCTGCAGTTCGCTGCATCTCCCACTTCAAGACAAACGAACAAGCTAGCACATCATGAAGCATATGTACATGTGAAAACAATACAACATACAGGCACGGCCATCTGGCTCCTAGTGACGAGGGATCTCGCGGCGTCTTTGAGACAGAGTATGCCGAAACTGAGGCACAAAAAGCGTCACCTGGGTCCTGAAACCTCTCTGAACCCGCCAAGTCGTGAATGCATTCATCTTCCTGGGAGCATCAATAAGACGTGACTTCGCTCATCGACAACCCATGAAACCCAGTTGCCTAAGCCCATGCTGTGGT